TGCCTGAATTTGATTGAGCAGTATGCAATAAGAGTGCGATTCCATTGCTAGATTTTTGGCCCCAGTTACAGAGCTATTTACTCATTACCGTTTTTTAAAACATGTTTTACCAAACTGCGTATCTGAACCTATTTGATGGGCCACTGTTGCCTTGAAATAGCCTTGCTGCAAATATTACTTAAGACCACTGTGAATTTCCTGCAAATTTTTGCAGTAGTGAGAGGTTGATATTCCTATAATTTTTTTTCTCTTTTCTGTTTTGTGAAAAATAAGTTCTGCAGGGGAAATCTGAATATGACAACACAAAGTATCTGTCACGTATTAAATGCAGACTTTCTTGCTAAACATTCTTACAGGTGCTTCATTCAGTAGTTGAAATTATGACGCCTGATAGTCAGGCAACTTAACCAAAAAGTCACTTTTTTGAATTGCAATTCTAGAATCCGTTTTATGTTCAATAGTTGTTTCTCACGTGTATTTATTACTTTATTAAAAGTATTGACGTGGCTATGACAGGTTGCTATAGTTAGTTTTGCAACTGCTTTCTCCGTTCCCAGGATTTTTTTTCTGACTAGGTCGTTAATATAGAAAATCACTTTGTCTTTTCTGCGTGTTCACTTTCTTCAGTGAGTAATCTTTGAAATGTGTACAATTCTCTCTTTAAATCCATAGAAGAGCAGCGTTTCTGTGACCAATCTGGCCATTTCAAAAAGATCAGGAAAATATACCAGTTATTGAAATGTGCAGTTTTCTAAAGCAGAGAAGTTTAACTGCGTTCAAGGAGCAGGATTCTAGGTGAACCTGCTTGAGCAAGGGGGTTGGACTAGAAGATCTCCAGAGGTCCCTCCCAACCCCTACCATTCTGTGACTGGAGGATAAAACAGATATTGAATGAACAGATTGATATTGAGGATGGCAACAAGCTTAATTTAGAAAAAAAACAGTAATTTAAAACTGTGTTGTACTTTTGTTGTTAGTGTAAAAACCCTGTGATTACTAATTGTACTGATTGCCTGTAAAACTTGCTATTCTTGGATTACTTTTTTTGGTAGAAAGTAGCTTTCTAAATACAGGCTGCTTTTTTTTTTTTTTTTTAATAATGCTTCATGAGACCTAATCAGTTTTGTGATCTCAGTGTTTAATTTGTTTTGCATGTTCAAGAAGTTCTGGTTTGGGGTTTTTTGGAAAGCAAATTATGAAACAGTTTATTGAGTAACCTATAGATATGCCCAAATTCCCTTGGGCCAGATGTTCTGCATGTAATCTGTGACTACTTCTGGGTGTCTTTAACAGAATATATTTTTATACTTTTTATATATATATATAGTGGGCACTGTAAGTCTTCCTAACTGACTTGTGCTAGTGGTGAGTTGGAGATACTGAGAAGAATAGTTCATTCTTTTCAGAATGTGAACCTGTATATGTTGGAGATCATGGGTTTCCTGTTATTGACTTGGGAGTTTCTCTGGGTTTTTCAAAGTGGTCAGCATGGGTTTTTGGCTTGTGATGAACTATTCCCTCTGTGAAGGCTGTTTTGATTTGGCACTGGTTAGCTACATCTTTCTGTTTCAGATGCAAGCAGTTTTAAGGGTATAGTTATTCCACTAAATGAAACAGGTACTGCTTTGCTCTTCAAGCTCCATCAGCTGAAGTCTTAAACTGGTTTAAGTGTTATATTTGAAACCTTTTTTGAGGCAGCTGAGTGCAAAGCCTGGTCTTGCACATAAATGCTGGACACGGTGCCCTTTCATAGTGGACAAGAGCTTGGAAGGTCCCTTTCATTACCTTGAGGATGAACTGTTGTAAGGTAATTCACATGAGCAAAACTTTTGTTCTACAGAAAAAGTTGTCATTGACTTTCAGAATACTTGTCTTGGATGTTCTACTTGTTAGGAATTTTTGTATCTCGATTTAAAGGTCAAAGAAAAATACTGGGGTGTTTTTTTAATTCTCTAGCTAGTAGGTGGTATTGACAGCACTGATAAACTAAAAGATACCTTGTTACCATCAGTTCCACAGATTTTTTACTTTTCCTTTTAAAGCTTGTTACAGTGCTGAGTAAGTCCACCCCAGAAGTTCGTCACAATGCGGAACGCAGGTAGAGAAAAAAACCAAGATCTAATAAAAATACACTGGACTGTAATCCTGTAATTGCTCTCAAGTCCGGATACAAGTGATTTAAAAACACTCTTAGTGTTAAATCGTCTTTTACAATTCAGTGATTTAAAAACATTCCTGAAGAACACATGAGAATGTAACTGGCCTATGCTCACTGTTTTTAAAGCAGATTCTGGCATGATTTCAAAATCCAAAAAAGGTGCAGCTATTTCACAGCTGGTTAAAATTACACAGAAGAAATGACAGAATTGGTTGCCATCTTTAAGATTTTTTTTTTTTTCTGTAAGAACTGGAAAATATGGCAATGATGACTCCGTTATTAAGCCAAATGTATTGTTTCCTTTCATCATAAATAATTGGTTATCCCTGAAGTTGTCACTTGTTACTGGAATGGGGCAGAAGGTGGGCCTTTAAACTGTGGTTGGTTTTGGTTTTTTTTCCTTGAAAAACAGCATTTTGCCATAGACAGGACTTTAAGTGCCTGCTCTTTTGCCCTCCCTAAAACATTATGCACTTACCCCTGGTTTATGGTGATAATGTAGCAGTGTGCTTTGGCCTTGATGCTTTAACAGCTCTACCACATCCCTACTCCCCAAAGGACCGTTGTATTCTGAACAGCCACCATCTCTTGGACCAAAGAGTCAGAGAGTTGCATTGACCTTCCCTGCTTTGTGTGTGTGGTGTTCTGCGTAATGTGTGCAATGACATAATACTGACTGGGGGAAGTGTTTCAGTGGTTTTTCTAATGTGGGCAGAAATAGTATTTTGTGAACAGTTTTGACCTGAGCACGAGTTAGATAGTGGTTTCCTGTTGGAGAAAGTAGTCTTAATGTTTCGGGAAGAGTCTTCAATATTAAAAAAAAAAAGTTCCAGGTGATGTTCATGCTTCATAAAAGTGGTCATGTCAAGTGATGTCAGCTTGGTTTTCTGTGAGGAGAGAATCTGTCCTGCCAACTCACATGCTTACAAGGTATTTAAATCTGTAATCTTTACCATGGTATCAAATTTTGATTCCTTTTTTTTTTCTGGCATATGCACATGATGGGTTGATGGAACTGCAGGGGCAGGAGAAGAACTATGAATATAAGTACAAAAATGTTTAGCGTTCGGAGAATTGTGAAAACGATAGCTTGTTTTTGGTAAAGAAACTAGAAAATTTATGGCCTAGGTGGAGACCTTAAAGGCAGTCAGAAGTGGTTCATATATGCCTTATTTTGCTGTTGAAGTTCACTCACAGCTGTTGTACCTAGCATCATTTTCCTGACACACATACGAAAAAGAAAGTTAGGGCAATCTTGTCAGAAACCTACAGAGGTGTGGGGGCATTAAGGGAAAATAAAATTCTCAATACCAGTGAAAGACGGCAAGTGGAATAGTAAAGAATAGACATGAAAATCCTGTAAAAGACTAAGCAACCTGTAGGCTATAAGAGAAGACAAATTACTAGGTATAGCTGCATTATATTTTGATTAAAAAGTGAAGCTGCAGGACTAAAAACAAATGGACGATAAACAGTTTGGGTAAGCGTGGAGTATCAGTTGCAGAGTTGTGAGGTGGGAATGCGCAGTGAGACACTGAGCAGTGGGAGTGCAGAAGTTACTACGAGTCTTCCCATCTGTACTGTTGGTCCGCGGCCGGTGAGAGCCGCTGCCGTCGGTCTCTGCAGAGCGGGGGGCTGTTACCTGGTGGCCCAGGAAAGCTGAGGTACGGTTCCCGTGTGCACTCTCGTTACTGGGCCATTTGTGGAGCGTTTCAACATCTGGGGGAAAAGCTTAGTAAAGAAATGATAAAAATCACTTTATTTAAATTTTTTTTAAAAAAGAGGAAGGTGTGAAAGCTGTAACTGCACAAAAATTTGTATTTACCCATTGTGTTTTTATTAACTCTTATTAAAAGTACAAAGAAAAGCACAACAGTGAACTACTTAGAAAAAACTTCACAGAATAACACAAGTTAATTAAGTATACTTCCAGAAGGAAAAAGGTTATTGAAATTACTATTCTAGAGGTTAAAAAAAAATACTGAGGCAATAGATTTGCATACAAAATACTGGATTGTCCCCTGAATATTATAAATAGACTCCGTAAGCTCTCATTGCTTGTAAGAAAGGGCATGGCAAGCCTTGGCAAGCGTGAAGGTAAAGTTTATTTGTTTTACTGAACTTCAGCTTTACTACTCTTTTGTTGCTGCTGCTTTACCCTTTCTTTGTGCTAGCACATCCAGACACCTACCTGCCTCTTAAACTCGGTGAAGACAGGGTTTTTTTAATGATTCAGAGGACTTACAGCGTCAAATTCCGATCTGGTTCAGTTCAAAAGAAAGCGCAAATTTAAATCAAAGGGGGAGTTGCGCTGCTTGCCTTTTGTGAGGTGCAGACTCTTGGGCGACCGTTCAGTCAGCTGGACAAGTGTTTGGTTTGGGTGAATTTGCTGGGCAGCCTGCCCTCCGGAACAGGTCTTGGGAACAGTTTGCCACCTTATGTTGTTTCTTTTCTACCAGCATGTTACGGCACTCCAAGCAGAATGGCTTCTGCGCTGGCGCTCCTGCGAGAAGCCAAGTGGCCTAGCTCCAGACCGGGCCCAGGACGCGCAGGGGCTGGCAGTCTTTCCGAGAGAAATGCTCTTGTTTGGAGCCTGCCACAGCTTCTCGGCGGCCGTGCTGACTTCAGCCAGCCCTTGCTGCTTCTCCAGCTGTGCGGTGCCAGCCGCCGCTGCGCTCCTGTTGAAGCTGCTCAGGTGCCCTGTTCATGCCCTCGGTTAACCTTAAATCTGTTCAAGGATTTAAATTAGTTCAAAAAGCAGAGTTATGTTGGACGAAGTTAAACTCTACCAGGTACCTAAAGGCAGTTCAAGTCATTTTGCAAGTTGTTTAAGTGTTAGGGCATGCAAAATTGTTAGACCTGATGGATACTTTAGGTGGGCAGAATGCTTAGCGCTGTAAGCTGGAAGAAATTCGGTCTGAGCAAATCTATACCACCTTTGGCTTATTCTTCTGACACATCTCACTTCTGTCTTAATTTTTCAAATAAGTCATGAAAATGGAAATCTAAAAAGTGAGTATATAAAGTGGCATATTCTGAAAAATAGAGGACTTTGAGTAACTTCTATGTATATTGTCGAGTGATTATTGATAGCTTTAAAGTTCATCTCACCTTTCAGTACAATTCAGAGATAGAAATCCGATTTCTCGCAACCGTTAAAGTAGGAAATGATCCTTAAGGACGTCTTTTAGGAGAGCTTAGGCATGACAATAACAGCAATACCGGTCTTAGTCCATCCTAATTGCAAAGTGATACCAGTCTTTTTCATTGACTGTTCTGGCAGCCATAGTATGGAGAATCCCCATTCACCTGGAAGCAAGCCAGCGAGAGGTACGGGAACGAGGAGAGAGCAGGGGGAGGCTGAGGCCTGGGAATCCGTGCTGAAGTCATGAACCTGCAGAACTGAAATTGTGGTAGTGCCTGCCTGCCCCAACACGTGGAGGACGAGGGTAGGTCTGGGTAGAAGCAGAGTGTCGCCCGGTGCGGTGACTGTAGCCATCCAAACGTGAATAACTCGCACTTTACGCCAGCTGCTTACCCCCTCCCTGCCCCAGAGGGCTTTTAATGCAAAGAGATACCATTGGTGATGTTTGGGGAGTATTCTCTTGAAATTATTGTAATCAAGTAACAAGCAGTTCTAAGGCCATGGGTGTCTGTAACTTGTTACGCGCAAATGTGAGTTTGTTTTTAAAAACATTTCTTTCTATTACTTACTATTTAACAGGCATTAGGCTCCGAATTTCTTCATTCTCTTTGATTACTCTGTTCCCTCTAACGGGTCTCTGTGTATCTTTTTTCCTTCACTAGTCTTACTTGCTCCTTCAGTATTTTATTTGACTCTTTTGGAGTCTTCGCTTAGTTGCTCTGAAACGATGGTTCCTTGCCATTCTCTGTATAGGCCCTGACTGACGTGTTTGTCACCAGAAATGCCTCAGAATGGTCTGTTGTCACTGTCTGTTGGAAAAGAGTGCTCTCCGCCCTGATGTCACGTCTGACCGTTCAGCGCAACGTCACAGGGAGGTCCCGACTTCTGATTTCCAGGTTGACTGAGGTGCGCATAGCCTGCACGTGCCCCCTTCTGCGCGCTCTGCTTCGTTCCCTTTGGCTGGAGGAGACAGTAAAACATCTCCCGCAGCGCTCTCCTGCTGTAGAGTAAAACACTCTGTAGAATACCGTGTGTGTCAGAGGGAAAGGTGTGTCACCTTTGATCTTGATTACAGGCACAGAAATGTTCTTTCTATGTTTAGTTTCCCCTGGCAGTCTCCCTTGCGGTTTATGCCAGCCGCTGGCTCTGGTCCAGCTCCAGTCGTTTCCTCTCGAAGCGTGAGCCCCTGCAGAGAGTTTCCTGGTCCTTAAAGCGGCTTGTTCTTTGGACCTCTAGGACAGATCATGGAAAAAGGTGCTGTATTAAAAGTACTTTTCAAGGGGAAGGACAGGAGACAGGTCTGCTAACGTCCATTTTTTTTTGTCGGTCTGTGTACTGAATGTGAAGCTGTGTGTTGTCCATTGCATGCCTGGAAAATTTTAAGTTGAAATCCCCTAGAAGTAGGGCAGCCCTCTTTTCAGATCACATTCGAAAATAGGGGCCGTTTGACTTGCTAGTTCATCAGGTGTCTGAGGAGTGGGCTTTTGCCAAATGTCTTTGAATGGCTTAGAAGAAAGAGAGAGAGGTTGATGCTGCTTCTGCCTAGTTAGTGTTAGTCCGAAGCACGGACTGCAGCTGCAAACTCTTGTATCTGCTGTGTGAGCTGTGAAGGAGTTATGTTTTTTCAGTTTTTAGATTTTAACCAAAGTAGCAATGTGCAGCCAGCTTAGAGAGGAAAAGTTCATGGTAGCTAATTTTAGGTATCTAATTTAGATGTTCTGGATCCCTTTGCATTCTCCATTACCTAAACAGAGCCCAGGCGCCGATATCGGTGTCAGTTAGAAACACGTAGTATGAATCCTTTGTGGGCTTAAATTAGTCTGCAGGTCTAAGCCTGCTGTCATCTCAGAATCCTGACAAGCGCTGGTCTCTGCCATCCCGTCCCGCTCTGCTCCCTGTACAACCAGCCCAGGAGGCTTTGGGGCTTGCAGAACTGTGACAGGATTATGACAGGAGTTTTGTGCTGTGGGGAGGTTAATATTCAGCACTGATGTTAAAAGGCTTAGTGCATGTACGCTGAATCTTGAAGCTTCTGTCTAGGCTTACAGGGTAGTCTCTCCCGAGTCACTGAGAATAGTTTCCACCGCATTATTATAAAGACAGATATTTGTAGCCTTTTACTGTGTTGGGAGGGTGCTCACTACCCGAGGAAGTGCTTAGTGCTTTTAAATTCGGGGATTCTACAGAACCATAACTTAGTTGCCAGCATTTTTCCCCAACTCTCCTTGTAATGTACTGGCTTTGAAAACAGCTAGGAATTTCCTACTCTGTCTGTAGACTGTAACTAAGTTACAACTCCTTTCCAAAAGTGAAGCTGAACATTAATTTTTCATGTCTGGAAGGAAACAAATATTACCAGACTAATACCTTACTGTGCAGCCGTAGGTCTTGCTGCTCTCCATAGTTTACAGGAGGAAGGTTTACACGGCTGCGTACAGAACAGAGGGTCCTAGCAACACTGGAGCGAAAATGGAGGGAAAGTTGGACAAACCTCTCGGTTTCTGGGCAGTCGTGGTCACAAAGGTGCCTTGTACGGGAGGAGAGTGCGTTAGGGTGCTGTGCGTGAGCACATACCGTGGCAGTTCAGCTGTCCTCGCCCTTTCGCCTGTTTCCTTGTGAGTTATTTTGCTAGTATGAAGACAAGGCTGAGAGATTCTGCTGGGAAATAAAACTGGTGCTTGTACACATAAGAAAAAGATAAGACGTATAATAAAAGAGCTCTAAAAATTCCAGAGTTAATGTGATGATTAAGAACCTGCAGAGGCTTGCTTTGTTTTTTTCTGGAAGTCTTAAGCTGATGTGGAAATAAAGAGCAAATGTAGATGGGTAAAGCATGTTGAGCAGAACACAGAGTGATTGGTTTGGAGAGAATTTCGTGGTTTACCTCTAGTCTCATAATTTTTTTGGTTCAAGATAGTGTAGTGCTGAGGATACTAGATGGAATTATTTTGGGGGATCGATACGCTTCAATTAAACATCCTATAGGGAAAACTTTTTAATTCATACTTTTAGATTAAAAAAAGTTTTAGTGCTGTTAAAAAAAAAAAAACAAAAACAAAAACCAAAAAAAAGCTGATTCTTCATATTCCAAATTTAACTGAGACAATATTTGAAGAAAATTTTTGTGTTTTTGTGCTGATGTGCCCGCTCCACGTACCTGTTTCCATACAGCATGTTGATGATAGATTTTTTTTTTTTTTACATACTTTTCAGTGCCAATGTAAAATTTCAAGCTGCTTTTTCCAGTTGGTGATCAATAAGGAAAGGCATTCTCCACTGGCATGAGCGTTTCACCTACACGTTGTTGACCCTCTTCTACAGCTTTGAACAAAAAGTACAGCGAGAAGTCGGTGGTGTCTGTGTTCTGTCCTGCTTCTGCAGTTCTTGACAGAGAGGAGCCCAGGTTACGTTTGGCTGGAGAGCACTGCTGGTAAATCATGGCCGTGTCTGGCAAACGGTGGTGCCTTTACAGATGTGTTGAAGCAAAAATGCTGCCCAGTGTACTTTGAACGAATGTTTCAACAAATACTTTGACAGTGTACATTGGAGAAATTAAAAATGTCTTTTTCCCTTTCTGAGACTAAATGGAGGAGTGGGTTTTGTGATTTTGTTTGAAATAATTGCGTATGTTAAGGAGTCATTTATCTCTGCTGCGACGTTTACTGATACCTCAAAGGGCAAAAATGACCCATGCTAGAATGGCTTTCAGATTTCTGTGGTAGTGGAATATTAGTTTTGCTACTGGTAAACCTTTAACTAGAGGGCTACTTAATGTTTGAGTACTGAAAATGTCATTAAATTACTCTGTCGCATCCCTTCTCTGCTTACCTCATCTGTCGTTTCTTTTTTTCCTTAGTTTACTGCTTTCCTGGGGTGTCTCTTGAAATGCTGGGGTTTTTTTCCCTGTGTATAATTGAGTTGATATTGTGATACAGAATTTTTTTTTATTCTAGCACTATTGCCCGTCTTGGAGTAGAATTTAAGTAAGATTACATCTCCAGCTAGTTCCCCAGCTTTCTCATTTTAGTACAAAATTCTTTGCTTAAGTCATGATTTTTGGTATTTTTAACTATAAAACCTCTTAGCCAGCCAGCCATTTGTGATGGCTTAGAATTTATACATTCGCACAGTTTAGATATGTATTTGGCCCAAAGCAAATATGGAATTGTGAAAATAATTATCATGGCTCAGTATTAAAGCTCAACAGCAGTATTGGCCACACACACAGAGGTTTCTCTCTCTGACATTGAATCTCGGTTCTCATGCAGGTTGTTTTCCCCGTGATTGTCAGGCAGGAAGGACGAGTTGGCTGTGAAACATTTTCACAATCACCATATACATATGTTACACAGATTGTTATGAAAGGACCTGGTTTCATTTTTTTCTTTCTTAAGAAAGAAAAAAGTTCCAAATTCACAACAGGCTTAACACGGACCAGCTCCTGCCCTTTCTGTGTGTGTAACAGTCCTTTGCCTGTCTGAGGACCTAAGCAGGCTGTGAGACCTTGCATCAGAGAAGCGTGGCAAACTTTGGAAAAGTGAAATAGTCTGTCAGTGTTACAAGCTGACAATTTTTTTTCTTATTTGTTTAAGAAATGATTAAAATTACATTCAAGGTAACCTGTACAATCTTTTGACTTGCTTGGGGTAAGAAGTGGGAACAGGATTTGCTGGGAAGTTGGTGAGCTAGAAACTGGTTTCTTTATAGCCATCGAAACAGTTTGTCCATCATCTCTTGAGTCCCGTTTATTTATAATATAGGAAGGGCAGGCATTAATATATTGAGGATCCAACTTTAGTGTATCGATAATGTGAGTTTTCCTTCACCTTGCAAAGAGGGGAACAGAGGTCCCGTTCACGTGCAGGTTGCCAGGTCTTGTGTCCTTGTTTAAACTTCGACATCGTACTCCTTATTCGAACCTGGAGGTTCAGTGAGGTGGTACTGCTGTGATTGCTGCGTGGGTATGGGTTTGACAAAGTGGATCTTTGTGGTAAGTGGAAATAAGTAGCTTTTCTGTTTATATTTTTTGATTGAGCAGACATTGTACCACTTTGTATGGTCTGAGTCATATATGTGTGTGTGTATAAAAATACATATTAAGTACATTTAAGAGTGTGTGTATATGTGCGTGTATGTATATATCTTAAGAGTTTATCAATGTTGTGCTACCAGAAGCTCATAATTCTGAGGTGAATCCTAAAGTAAGAGATTGCTTAGTACTAGTGGACCTAATAAATCCTTACAAATATCTGCAGGGTGGGTGTCAGGAGGATGGGGCCAAGCTCTTTTCAGTGGTGCCCAGCGACAGGACAAGGGGCAATGGGCACAAACTGAGGCACAGGAAGTTCCGTCTGAACATGAGGAAGAACTTCTTCCCTCTGAGGGTGACGGAGCCCTGGAACAGGCTGCCCAGGGAGGCTGTGGAGTCTCCTTCTCTGGAGATATTCCAGACCCGCCTGGACAAGGTCCTGTGCAGCCTGCTCTGGGTGACCCTGCTTTGGCAGGAGGGTTGGACTAGATGACCCACAGAGGTCCCTGCCAACCCCTACTATTCTGTGATTCTGTGATAGTGGAACCTTTATACCATATGCTGTTTCCTGTGTGTATCTACTTACTGCTGTAAATTCATTTTAGCAGTTTGGGAGAGGGGAGGGACTGTTTGGGGGGTTTTGTGTTTTCAGTACTTTCTGCATAGTCTGCTGCAGAGGTAAATGGCCCTGTACCAGAAATTTGCCTCTAAATGTGGAATTGGTGTGAAGAGAATAGAGGGATTAAATTTATTCTGCTAGTGTTGGTAGAGAAAAGCCAAAACAGTTTGCTGCTTCTTTCCTGGGAAGGGGGCCGGCACAGGGGGGTCGGGTTTGCAGGGGGCTAGGGGG